GTGGGTTTGAACCACCAGCCTTCTGGTTAGCAGTCAAGTGCCTTACGCACTATGCTACCAGAGCTCCTTGTTATATATGGACATTCTTATAGCACATACAAACATGTGTAGAAATATCATCTGTGACACTTACATATGGTCATGTGTATATTCCCTTTTGCCTAGACATACCTGATCATTTAGCCTGCCAAGACTCTTTAAGGGAGTAGATTGCCACATCTTTCTCTCATGGAGTGGCTAGTGGGTTTGCCAACCCTTGGGATAGCAGCCGAGTGTTTAACCATTGCTCCAGCAAGGCTCTTTAGTGTGAGGAAGGGGACCATCAGAAGTCTTTATTGGAATTATAGGAAAATTAGATTGTCCAGGGTCCAAGTGAAAAGGGAATGTAGGATCATGAGGTTATTCAGGCTCAGCCTGGTAGGGTAGGAGGCTGAAGGGAGACTGCACTTGCAAGTGTGAGGAAATGAGCTTGTCTAGACTCAGCCTGGGGACCCTGAAGTTATCTGGACTTGAGATGGGAGAGGACCAAGTGGTTTGGAAATTCAAGGTAGGGGAGCATACAGTTGTTTGCTATGGAGTGGGGAAAGAAGTTGTCTTTGAGAGGGAGAGGCAGGAGGTTGACTGCTCATGCTGGAAGGCATAGCATGAGGATGGCTGGACATTAGGAAGGATTACATGAGGTTCTTCAGGTGTTAAGTGTGAGGGCTTGGAGAGAGAAGTTGTTCAGGCTCATGGTGAGAGGAACATGAGCTTGCCTTGACACTGGCTGGAGGGATTCAAAGTTGTTCAGGCCCTAGGGTTTATGGCAGAGGGTGACCTGGGTCCTTTGCAGGGGAGACATAAGGTTGTGCAGGCCTTTCACCATCATCTCCACCCTTGGCCAGAGCTCCTGATTCCTGACCATGCTAATGTCTTCTACGCAATGAGTCCAGCTGCCCCTGGAGACTTCGTGCTGCGGCGGAAGGAGGGAGCTCAACACTCACCTTCTCTTTCCCTGACTTGAGGTGATTCTCCCCTTCCTCCAGGATACAGACTCCATGGACAGTGTGAGGCTTGGCTTATATCACCACTGAGGCAGAGGGCTTCTCTCACCAAAAGCCTTCATCCTCCAGTAGAAGCCATTGCACTCTGTACCCTGTGACACCCTCCCCCCCAGCTTTAGCCCACTGAACTCCATCTCTTTGACCCTTTCGGTGTGACATCTTTGTTCCAAGGAGACCAGCCTATGGGATGGCTTGTGGGGAGCTCCACCCTATAAACATAGAAGAGCGCAGGGAGTTGGAGGTCAGACTCCTTCCCAGGGAAAGCTTGTTGTTTGAGACACATCAGAACTGACGGAAGCAGATGAAAATTTGATAACGTTATGAAAATAAGAGTCTTGTTTGTTTTGCACCTGCACCCCATGGTAGCTCTTCACCAAGCTAAAAATAACACACACACTAAGAAAGCAGTCACATGAAGCATGCCTGATACCAGAGGTGATATGCCTCTTTTTTTTTTTTTTTTAATGAAAAATATCAAATTTATTATTAGTAAATATATGTAAACTGAAACAATATTTTGATAGGTAATAATGTTATCAAATTTGCAAAGAAAATGTAATATCCAAAATGCAATATTATTTGGCATCCCTGGTTCTCTTTGGGTTTTGCACCAGTCTATTCTATGGATTGGCATCTCTGCTTTCTTACCTTTTTCTTTTTCTTTTTTTAAACCCCTTGTGTTAGGCTGGGTTCTCTAGAGAAGCAAAACCAGTAAAGCTTATATATACACACATAGAGAAAGAGAAATTTATCTTAAGAAAATGGCTCACACACTTATAGAAGCTGTCAAGTTCCAAGTTCTTGGCTCAAACGTCAAGCTGGAGGCTTTTCCCAACTCACACAGCCATGGGGACATTGAGCTCAAGGTTCACAGGCTGTTCACTCCAATGAATGACGAATCCAAGATCTCCAGGCTGAATGGTGGATTGTTTGCTCATGGACAGTTGTAGGATATGCCTCTCTTTCGCTATGTATTTGGGAGAGTTAAGAAATTCTGTTGGAATAGGATATAAGTAGTGTCATTACCCCTGAGCCAATAGGGGCTATGAGAAGAAGAGGAGTGAACAGTCAGTAGTGGGATAGGAAGAAGAAACAGAGAAGGCAGATGAGAAGTGAGGTGTAAGGCCAACTGCAACATCCGCTGCTGTGGATTCAGTTCTGACTCATGGTGACCCCCATTGGGTTTCCAAGGCTGTAAATCTTTATTGGAGTAGATTGCCTCATCTTCCTCCTGTGCAGTGGCTGGTCGGTTTGAACTGCTGACCTGGTTAGCAGCCAAATGCCTTACACACTGTGCCACCAGAGCGCCTTAGCTTCTACACAGCAATACTAACAATCATCCTGTTTGTGAACTCCTACTCTGTGTGGGCCTCAGCAAGGGGCTTTACATCTCACAGTATTACTCATGATTCTTTCTGCTTTAAGTGGGCAAGGACCCAATTCCAAGAGGCTTGTGAGAAAAAGGAAATTTAATTGCTCATGTAATGGAAAGCCCAGTGGGCCTGAACTCAGACCCAGTTGAATTATTCAGGGACTCAAAAATGTCATGAAGATTTTTGTCTCTGTCATCTTGCTTTGCACTGAGCGTGAGACTGCTTGTTGATTTTCCCTCCTCCCCTCATCACCTTCCATGGTAACAGCACCCTTGATTTTTAGCAGGCTACCCAAAGTAGAAACCACATCTCTTATCTCCCTTGCAGCAAGATGAGATCATGTGACCAACTCCTAGTCATTGAGATGCGAGGGGAAAGGATGTAGGCAAATTCCAGGTCCTGCCTTTAAGGGAGGGAGTATGTCGAACTCTTTCCCCTTTTCTGCATTCTGCTGGCTGGAATTAAGATGGAGAGTGAGCTATCCTGGGTCAGGTGATTCATATCCTCTGAACAGCAACAACTGAAAGGAGCCTGCGTCTCTGACACCAGAGAGCTGCCATATTGGATTGCTGCAACTTGGATTGTTATGTAGGAGACAAATACATGTCTGTCTTACTTAAACCACAGTTATTTGGGTCTCTTTTACAGTAGCCAAATGAACATTTAAATTAAATGTTACTCCAAGGCACAGTTACCCCTCGTGGTAGCAGTGCCAGGCTTACATCCAACCAACCCCTCCTTCCCCTCACCTCCAGCAAAAATCCCAGAGCAAATGCCCATTGGACCACTTTGTGTCACATGTCCACCCTTGAGCCAATCAAATACTGGAAATGGAACAACCAGAATGAAATTAGAGAATGTTGACACATTTTGAAAAATGTAATTAATGTCACTGAACAATTTGTACGTTGTTGTTGTGTGCCGTCGAGTCGGCCCCAACTCATAGCAACCCCTCCTTGGGGTTCCGAGGCAGTATCACTACAGAAGTAGGATTGCCCAACCTTCCTTCCGGGGAGTGGCTGGTGGGTTTGAATCGCCAGCCTTCTGGTTAGCAGTCAAGTGCTTTAGCCACTATGCTACCAGAGCTCCCAACAATTTGTATAGGAAATGTCAAATGGGAACCTAATTGTGTACACTTTGACCAAAAACACAAAATATTTACAAATCCTATGGATCACAATGGTCTGGGAAAGCATTTCATTCCATTGTTCATGAGGACATTATGAGTCGGGGGCCAACTCAACGGCACCTAATAATTATTATTGTGTTTTCTGTGTGCCAGGCACTGTTCTGAGAACTTGACAATATACACCTTCTTTCGCCCTCACAACAGGCCTGTGAAATAGGCATTATTATTATCTCCATTTATAATCTATACATGAGCCTGAGATTGGGGAGGATTAAGTCACCTGCCCATGGTCATGTGGTAAATACCTGGCAAGGCCCTAGTTCAAACTAGGATGTTTAAACTTCAGAGCATGTGCACTTAACCACTGGGCTAGTTTGCCTCTCATAGTCACCAATGAGTTTCTAATTCACCCTCTCTCACTGCAGATGCCAATTTCCTCATTGACTTTATTTTTTTTTAACGCAAGAGTACTTGGGCACAGCTGCTAAGTGGCTAAGACAAGGCCGATGGTCTCTCTACATCTCTTGGTTTTCCTCCTTTACTACTCAACAAGTATTGCTTGAGGTCCAACTGTGTGCCAAGCAAGCCCTGTTCTAGATACCGGGGCCACAGCAATGAAGAAAACAGATAAAAATCCCAGCCCTCAAGGACTAATGGGGAGGGAATCAATGAGAAAACATCAAATACTGAAAACTTAGCCATGTAAGGGTAACGGGGAGGGTGGGGTAGGAGGTTGTTATTTTAAATAGTGTGGTCAAGGAGGAAGTCATTAAGGAGGTGACATTTTGGCTGAGACCTGAACAAAGAGCCTTCCAGGGAGAAGGGATGAAGAGTGCCAAAACCCATGTTTAAGTTCACCATCGTGCAATTTCTCTCCTGACGGATACCTCCGGTTATCCCACCCACACAGCCCACGCCCAACGTAAAAGGACGTCCCTTTCTAGTAACGCCACCTGAAGTCCCGGGATGGAAGTTCATTGGCTTCATATGGTGCACTCTGATTGGCTAGTCTGAGACAAGCAAGCGCAATGAGGACCCACTTCCCACCTTAGGCAACGTACCTCTTGGCGTACTTCAGTCCAGACGAACGGATATTATGGTTTGCTTCACAATACCAAATTATTAAAAGAATTGCATACTTTTGTAAAGTAAAATACCAAGATAAACAAACAAACAAAAAAAACCTTGCTGCTGTGGAGTCAGATCCTTGGGTTTCCGAGGCAGTATCACTACAGAAGTAGATTGCCTGATCTTTTGAGGAGTGGCTGGTGAGTTTGAACCGCCAACCTTATGGTTAGTAGTCAAATGCCTTAGGCACTAAGCCACCAGAGCTCCTCCCAAGAATACAAAAATCTAAATAACAGTAAAAATTTGTTTTCAAAAAATCCTAATTGAAATCTCACATTCCAGAATATATGCAGTTTTACAAATACATCATCTTGTTATATATACTGGTTGGCAACACTGCCTAGCTCTCAACTGCTAGTGTTTATTACCATGACTGTTTATTCATTTCCAGACTGGGGAGGGATGTTGATTCGCACGATAATATCAGTAGATTACATTTTTTGAATGTTTGCTGTATCCCGTGTGGTATTTCACAGATGACGAGGTTGAGGCTCAGATAAGGTAAGTCACTTACCCAGGAACACACAGCAAGGAAGTGTGTCTGACACCGGAACCAGAGCCGTTCCCGCCCCTCAAGCGGCCACTGGGCCAGGGAGGGCCCCTGCCCCCGCCCGCCCAGCAGGGGAGGACCGCAGCCTCCTGCTTATCTCTGCCCAGGCTGCCTGCCGGCCCCGCCCCCTCGGGGGAGCTGCCACTTGGAGACGCTGGGACGGGAAAGGCCTGGTCAGCTGTGTCCGGCGGAGGCAGCTGCTGACCCAGCTGTGGACTGTGCCAGGGTGGAGACCGGCTGGGGGTTGGAGCCCTGGGCCCCCTTAGCGGGGCCTGCTCCATGGACCCGCTTTGGGCACCCCTCTGGCCCCGAGTCGGCTCTCTCTGTCTCCTGCTTGCTGGGGCCGCTTGGGCCCCTCTACCCAATCCCCCAGACCCCAGGTTTGAGCGCAAAGGTAAGGATGGAGCTGTGTGCGAATCTCCATACTGGGGCCTGGAGGGCAGTGCTGGGGCTTGAACTCTCAGCCTGGATCTTGGGGGCCAAAACGGTGTCATAACTCCCAGGCTGGTTCCTGGTGGGGCATGCTGGAGTCTAAGTTCCCAGACTAGGTCCTGGAGGAGAAGATAGAGCGGCGCATAAGGGTCCCTAGTTTTAACCTGTCAGGGAGCCTGGAACGTGGTAAATCCTAATGGGGCAGGTGTGCTCCTGGGTCTTTCCCGCGGTCTGAGTCCCTGAGGGCAGAAGACCAAGTGGACTCTCCAGTGGAGGGGAAGGTGGATGGAGCTCCGGTCCCAGTCTGTGGGGCTGCGCCGCGACTGTAAACACAGTTGCATCTGGCGCCAGATCCCATGCCGCCGGCCCGAGGAAGGGGGCGGGGGACACAGTTGGCGCTATCGGGCAGCGGGGAGCCTGCCGGGGCCGATAGGAGGCCCTGCCTCCTCCACACACACCCACCCTCACGCAGGTCCTGGGCTGGGCAGGTTTGGCAGCTGGAGGCGAAGGCCTTGAACCCTGCATTCAACTCGGCCCGCCGCGGGAGGGCGGTTGTGTGTGCAGAAGACGGCAAAGCAGGCAGCCAGCGCCAGGCCCAGCGCCAGCGCCAGTTTAGGACTTGGGGAGGGGTTTGCACCTCTCTCCAAAGCTCTCGAGGGGCCCCAGCTGGAGGCGGGGCTTATTTTTATCAGCCCGGACAGGCGGCGGGAAGGGAGAGGGCTGTAGCCCGAGGATGGGGCTCGGCTGCCCTGACCCCTTCCCCTTGTCACTCCCCTAGTGGCCCTGCTAGGGGCCCGCGAGCCCGAAGAGCTGCTTTGCTTCACCGAGAGGCTGGAGGATTTGATGTGCTTCTGGGAGGAAGCGGCAAGCGTTGGGGTGCGCCCTGACAACTATAGCTTCACCTACCAGTTCGAGTGAGTCCCCCGGGGCAGGCAGAGCGCCCCTACGGGCGAAGTGGGCAGGGCGAGGCAGCACTCCCCTGAGGTCGCTGCCGGGGACTAAACAGCGCCTTCCTAGTCGTCGCTAGCGAGAAGCCAACGGGGTCAGGGCTGGGAGATTGACGTGATCACCGCTGGAACGCGACCCCACACATCCGGGCTGGGAGAACACCTCTCCAAATTAAGGAGTCCCTCACGTCGGGCGAGATGGCGTCTTTTGGGGGCAGCGGGAATGGCGTAGCGTTCTGGTGATCTAGAGACCTACGTCAGGGATCCAACGTCCCAGCCCCGCGGGACGATCTCTCACCCTCATTAGAGCTGACACGACCCTCATGTCGGCGCATAAATGCCCAGGTGGTAGTATCCCAAATGCCCCATGGTCCAGGCAATACTGACTCCCCCACTTGCTCCCTTCCCTCTCGCATCGCTCGACGCACAGAGGTGAACCATGGAAGGTGTGCCTCCTGCGCCAGGCACGCACGGCCAGCGGTGCGGTGCGCTTTTGGTGCTCGCTGCCTACGGCCGACACGTCGAGCTTCGTGCCCCTAGAGCTGCGCGTCATAACCGCTTCGTCCGGCGCTCTGCGCTACCGCCGCATCATCCACGTCAACGAAGTGGGTAAGTGCGCGGGGAATTGGGTGTTGGCCACAGAAGGGGGTGTCGGTCTCCACCCACTAGACATCCCCTCCCGCAGTATTCCTGGACCCTCCCGCAGGGCTGCTGGCGCGCCAGGCAGAGGATAGTGGCCACGTGGTGCTGCGCTGGTTCCCTCCTCCTGGGGCGCGCATAACGAGCCACATCCGCTATGAGGTAGACGTCTCGGCAGGCAACGGCGCAGGGAGTGCGCAGAGGGTGAGGCTAGTACTTAAGGCCCTGCCCCCGCCTCTCGAGCTCAGCCCTTACGCGTGAGGGGACCGGGTGGGTTGCAACGACACCGACAGGTCTGCTCACCAATTGCACCCTTAACACCCGGTGCCCTCCCATACCCGAGTCACCCTTGCGCCTCTAGGTCCCGTCCCTGACGCCCGACATCCCATTGACCTGACGCCCAAGACGGCTCCACACCTCACAGTCGCCCGCCTTTCCCAGTGCTTCCCTTGTTGTTGTTGTTGTTGTTATGTGCCATCGAGTCGACCCCGACTCATAGCGACCCCTCCTTGGGTTTCCAAGGCAGTATCACTACGGAAGTAGGATTGCCCAACCTTCCTTCCGAGGAGTGGCTGGTGGGTTTGAACCACCAGCCGTCTGGTTAGCAGGCAAGTGTCTTAGCCAGCCCTCCTGAATCCTAGATGCCCTCCATCCCTTGTCCCAGTCCCAAACCCCTTTAGAGCTCCGCCCCCTTAATACGCTAGCCCGCCTTCTAGTAGCTCGCGGCCCGCCCTTTGCTCTCATTGGCTCCACTGCAATGCTTGGACTCCGCCCCTTCTCACCCAGATTGGCTCCAGGGCCCTCCCCAGGTGTGCCTTTTTGCTCGTCCCGCCTCTATTGGCCACGCCTCTCACTCGGGCCTGCCCCCAGGTGGAGATCTCCCAGGGCCGCACCGAGTGCGTGCTGAGCAACCTGCGCGGCCGGACGCTTTACACCTTCGCAGTACGTGCGCGTATGGCGGAGCCGAGCTTTGGTGGCTTCTGGAGCGCCTGGTCGGAGCCTGCGTCACTGATGACCGCTAGCGGTGAGGCCACACCGGAGGGGTAGAAGGGCCGAGGCGGAGCACTTGGCAAGCCCACCACCCTCACCTCCTCTTTGCCCCCAGACCTGGATCCCCTCATCCTGACGCTCTCCCTCTTCCTCGTGCTCATCCTGCTGCTGCTGGCCGTGCTCGCCTTGCTCTCCCACCGCCGGTGAGCCCCCCATTCGGGTACCCGACCCAGACATCTCCTTGCCAGCCAGTCCTTTGGCTCTGAATACTCGCAGGCCAGCACCTCAGCGCAGCCTGTGATAGGACCGGGAACACTTTTCGCTTTTGAAATCGAGGCTAAAGAGGAGCAGGCGCTTGCCCCAAGTCAACAGTGAGAAGTCGGTGGCAGGGCCGACAAGCAGTGCAAGCCAGTCCAGACACAAACAGAGTTAAAATGTTCTGCTCTTGGGGACATTGTTTTATATCGCCTACCTCAGGTGCTGCCCCTTCTTGCCTTTTCTGTTTTTATCCTAATGTGAACTCAACCGGATGGGTTTAATGGAAAGACCGACGCTCCCGAGTGCCTCCTAGCCCTTTGCCAAGCTCTTAAGGGAAGCCTTTGAGGTGTTCTATGATCTGAACAGCCATCCTGAGGCATGTGTAATTCCAAGCCCACACGGTGCGGTTTCACACTCAGGCCTTTCCTAATGCTGATCCTTCTTCCTGGAATGCCTTTTCCATCCTGTCTGCCAAGCCGTCTCCTAGTTGTCTCTAAAGACCTTGTTCGTTTACCTCATTGGCAAAAGGGAGAAAGTGGAAAACAAGCCAGATATATCCTGATCTTGTGGATCTCACTGTCCAGACAACAAACAAGGCAATAAACAAATACTTGATTATAAGTTGTGATGAATGGTATGACAGAACCAAGGAAGGGCAGAGGATTGCAGGATAATCAGGGAAAGCTTCTGGGAGGAGGTGACATTACAGAGAGACCTAAGACTGGAAAGAGGCAGCCACATGAAAAGCTAGGAGAAGGGAAAGCAAAACGGAAAGGCCCTGAGGTGGGAATGAGCTTGGAACGTTGAAGGAGTTGAAGAATCATGTGACTAGAAGAGATTGCATGAGGGGATAGTGATGGATGATGTGAGGGAAGTGACGGTCAGATCATGCAGGGCTTTCTTTAGGGCTAAGGGAGGAACAGGAGCATGGACTTTATTTGAGATGCTTTGAGGAACTACAGAAAGTGAGTGAGAAGGGAAGTGACATGATAGTTCTTCAGGCAAAGCCTGATACAGGTTTAGAAGGAGTATGTGTTCATGTATATTAAACTCCTATGCATCCTTCAAAACCCTGCTCCAGTCACCCTTCTGTAGGACTTTCCTGATGCTCTAGCTGAAGCCCCTGCTTCCACTCTGGTTTCCCCAAACCCCGACACACCCTCTGCCTCCATCCTGATTACCAGGGGCCAGAATAGCGATGTCCCTGTGACTGGGCACCAAGGGGGCATTGGTAAGTGTTTGATGACTTGTGTCATATACGCTATTTCTTTTGGCTTTCCCAGGACTCTAAAGCAGAAGATCTGGCCAGGTATCCCAAGCCCTGAGAGTGAGTTTAAGGGCCTCTTCACCACTCACAAGGGTAACTTCCAGGTAGGTGGCCTGTTGTCCCCTCAGGCCCTGGGGCTTTGGGCAAAACCCCAGGCCTCTAAGCAGGCTGGTGCTCTTCCCACAGCTGTGGCTGTACCAGAATGATGACTGTCTGTGGTGGAGCCCCTGTACCCCCTTCGTGGAAGACCCACCTGCCCCCCTCGAAGTCCTCTCTGAGCGCTGCTGGGGGGAGACACAGGCAGTGGAGCCAGGCGCAGAGGATGAGGGGCCCCTGCTGGAGCCAGTGGGCAGTGAGCAGGCCCAGGACACCTACCTGGTGCTGGACAAGTGGTTGCTACCCCAGAGCCCGCCCGGTGAGGACCTCCCAGGGCCTGGTGGCAGTGTGGACACAGCAGCCATGGAGGAGAGCTCAGAAGCGTCCTCCTCTTCATCTGCCCTGGCCCTGCAACCCAGGCCAGAGGGGGTCTCTGCTGGCAGCTTCGAGTACACCATCCTGGACCCCAGCTCCCAGCTCTTGCGCCCACGGGCACTGCCCCCTGTGCTGCCCCCCACCCCACCCCACCTTAAATACCTGTACCTTGTGGTTTCTGACTCCGGTATCTCAACTGACTACAGCTCTGGAGGCTCTCAGGGGACCCCAAGGGGTTCATCTGATGGCCCCTACTCCAACCCTTATGAGAACAGTCTTGTCCCAGCCACTGAGCCTCTACCCCCAAGCTATGTGGCCTGCTCATAGGACCCCAGTCCAGAGCCATGTGGGGACTCAGTGTGGCTCAGTACACAAGTGCCAGTCCAGACCCAAGACTTGTCGGGCAGGGTGGACTAAACCTTCCTCAGGGCTAGGGGCATTGCTGACATCAGCTTTCTGCCCAATCCATCTGGCTCAGAAGTCAAAGGTTCCCAGTGTTTTTACAGTATATATGTATCTTTTCTATCATGCCTTTTCCAAACACCCATCCTTCTCTGGGCCCAGGCCATAGTGAAAGTCCGGAAGCTCAGTCTGAAAATTCTAGACCTGGCAACCTGAATAACAATCATAATAAAATGAATGAATCACTATAAATTATGCTAGCTACTGTAACAAACAACTTCAGATCTTAGTGGCACACTAAACAGTTTCTCTCATCTCTCAAATCAAATAGGTGGGCTGCCATCCCCGGGATAAGTCAGAGGCTTAGGCTCTTCTTTCTATGGCTTCACCATCCCCTAGGGTCTTTAGGTGGGTCCTCTGCCTCCTACCAGGCAACAAGTGACGAGAGACTTCAGAAGAGTCCATGGACTGTTTAAAAGACCTGGCCTGGAAGTGGTCTGCATCTCTTCTCACATCCCATTGAATAGAAAGTCACGTGGTACCAGCTAGAAACAGAAGGCTAGGAAATGTCACTTAGCTGTTTGCCTAGAGAGGAAAGATGTTTAGTGAATCTGTAGCTAGTCTTTGGCACAAATAACAGCAATAATTCATTGGGACTTACTCTTCTGAGTCAGGGTCTATTCTAAGGAAGCATTCTGATGACACCAAGCATTGGTGAGGATGTGGCTCTGGGAGTTCTGGTTTAACCACCTTGAAAACAGTTTGGCATAACCCAGAAGAGTTGAACATACATATATCTTTTGCTCCAGCAATTCCATTTCTAGGTATATACTATAAACACACACTCATCAGGACACGTGCAAGAATGTTTACAGCAGTAAATAAAAAACGTAGCTGAATCTTACAACTTTGAGTGGGAAAAGAAGGAAGTTTCAGATATCATTTAGTATAAAACTCTTTTTTATAAACTTTAGAACACAAAAAACTAAATATGTGAACTGGGCATAGTATGTACATGGTAATACTATTTTTAAAAGAGAAAAAGCACTTTATATCCTGTAGGTCTTTGAATTTGTGCAACATGTAGGTATTCCAACTCTCATAAATGGGAAACTGAGGCAGAGAGAGGTTGTCAGACACCAAAGTTTGGCTGGCTTCTAGAACTTGTACCCTTGTCTGAGCTGGGATCACCCACCTCAGGGGACAATGGGGTAACTGTCATCTCTCCATGTGGTTGGAAAGCCACTAACCACTCTGTCCTGGGGCCCTGCCCACCTGACTCCAGGCAGGCTCGAAGGCAGTGCTGTCTTGGACCTGGTGCTCCTGGCTGCAGCCAGCAGCAGGCAGGGAAATACCGCTGGAGGAGTGCCAGCTGCGCTGTGTCCCCACTGTCCTTCTGGGTCTGGAGGGCTACCATGAGCCCACAGCTCCCACCAGGCCCAGCCCGGTGGCTGAAGTGGGCAGCAGTGTCCAGAAGGAGGGCAACCAGGCGGGCAGCTTCATGGGGCCCCTGGTGTTCTGACAGGTACTCCTCCAAGCAGTCAAGCAGCAGGAGGGCGGGGGCTGGCCCCTGGGCCTCATGGGCAGAGCACAGGAGCCGGAAAAGCTCACGGGTTGAAGATGGGTACTGGAAGCGGATCTTCTACAGAAAGGAAAAGAAAGGCCAGATTCAGCACCAGAATGCCAGCTATGGCAGCCCTGCTTGCTAGCATACTTCCCTGGATGGGGTTCTCACTCCCTCACCAGATAGCTGGTTCCAGGGTGAAACAGCTCAGACCGCCCAAATAATCTATTCGCCCTCTTTTTCCATCACTCACCACTGTCCTTCATTATTTGAGAGAAAGCGTCTTTCGCCAAATCTCTAAATGTACTTTTCCACGCAAAATCTGTCCCTAGCGCCACCTGGTTTTACCCCATCCTACACTACAGTTCCACTGGAAGCAACCCCAGCCTATACAACATCCCAGTTTAGCCCTGCCCCCTACTGGCTCCCGACTCCGTGCTTTGGCATTGTATCGCTAACTCCGCCCCATCACTGAATGGTTTCTCACTCAATCTTAACTAGGCTCGGTATGATCCCGCCTCTCGCTCACTCTTGACTCCACCCTTGCTTCTTACCCGCCTGCGTACCTGTCACTCAAGCCTAGATCCACCCCTCCATTGGCTAGTCCACCTCTGGTCCCGCCCCACCATCTACCTGGAGCCGCAGGGGATCGAATGCCGCTCGGGTCCGAAGGGGTAGGCTTTGCAGAGGCCTCCGGGCCAGGAAGAAGATGGGGCCTCGACCTTCCCCTGCCACCTCCAAGGCAGCCGCGAACAGCAATGCTGTCTTTCCGGAGCGTGGGCCGCCAAGCAGCAGCAAAGGTGACCCAGACTCAGCCGCGCTCTCTTCCCCAGGCCCGGCCGCGCTGCTCGCGCTCAGCATTCGCCGAAGCGTCTCCGCCATTCGCAATTTGCCTTTGTCCAATCGCCTTCCCGTTCTGGCCTTAATCACACCCAAGCCTAGGCATCATTGGTTAGAGTATGCTTAGCGTCTCTGTTGGTCTGTGGGGCTGTCCATCAAAATTAGCTTGACTTTTGCCTAACTCCTCCCCTCGCGAAGGGGCAAATAACCTAGTTTTAGGGAAGAGGAATGAGGTCATTTGAGAAGAGATCAGATTCTTCTTGGGGGAGGCTGCCGAAGAAAGCAGCATGAATACAATTATAGTGAGCTAATCAGTTATTCAGACAAATAAAAGGGTTCATTCAGATTTGTTGGGAGCAGGCCCGAATCACTGACAGCTTACTTAAAGTCTAACCTCAATTTGCTCACCTGTAAAATGGGGCTCATAAAATCTCAGAGGAATATTGTGGTGAGCGCGTGTCTGTGTGTTTCTGCAGATGTCACCCAATGACAGTTGAGAGGTGGGGAGAGAGATGAGCTATGTGCAATGAAATCCAAACATGAGCCAAGTTGTGACAGACATGAAGTATGACCTGTACACAGGTACGAGTGTGTCTGAGGCTGCAGACTGGGGGACGTTTGTGTGAAAAACGTCAGCTGCCTTCTGTGAGGTTCTCTGAGACGAGAGCTTTCAACTGGCTTCCTTATTGCCCTGGGGGATTCTTGGGTGCTGCTTAGGGTACAAGGAACTCTGTGGTGCAGTGGTTAAAGCATTCTGCTGCTAACCAAAAGGTCGGTGGTTTGAACGCTTCAGGCACTCATGGAAGAAAGATGAGGCAGTCTGCTTCACTAAAGATTTATAGCTTTGGACACTCTAAGGGGCAGTTCTATTCTGAGTATAGGGTCATTATGGCATAGCTATGAGTCAGAATTGACTCGATGGCAGTGGGTTTGGCTTTTTGGTTTTACTTAGGGTACAGGGAAAGATGGGGCCATAGGGCAGAGAAAGGAGCAGGAGAGACAAGAGAGATGGGTTGTGAGAGTGAGGGAGAAATGTGGCAGGGACTTTGTCTTGCTCACTCCTGTATTACTAGAGCTCAAGATAGTGCCTAGCATGTTGTAGGTCCTCAATATACGCTCATTAAATGAAGGAAGGAAGGAAGGCAGAATTGGTGAGAAACTGGGAGAGACAGAGAAACAGGTGAGTGATCAAGTGATCTGGCTGGGTCTCCTCACCCAGACATCACCCTAGAGCTGCCACTCATGCCCACGTTGCCCTGGCAACTCTGTCTCCTGGTAACTTCAAAGTGGTCCTGTTGCCAGGAGACCTAGGGGCAGAGCAGAACTGTATTTCCTGAGCTTTCTCTCTCTCTCTCTCTCTCTCTGGGCCTAGAAAACAGCTCCACAATATTCCCCAGTACACCCACACACACAGCTGGACACCCCACACACCTCTACACACACACACACACACACATGCACCATGACATCTCTGCATATATTCTGCTTCTAAAATCCTCACTACCAACAGCACTACCCTTTTCAGTCCATCTCCTTACCCCCATCCCAACACAAGGCATCGTCTGCACACTGTCTCCCACATTCATATCCTTACACCCTTTCCCTTACACAAACACACCAGAACACCCTCTGATACAAGTATGCCATCCCACACACACACACACACATTCCCTCTCAGCCAATGTGTTTGCAGTCCTTTCTGCACACTCACTCTAAGGCACTGTGGTGCAGTGAATTACTTAGTGTGACCTTTCTACCCATGATCTTTGTAACTCCCAGCAGATTACTAGGTGGGACCATGCAAATAAGGTGTAGGGAACTCTAATGTGAGGATTGGTTAGTTTTACCGTGGTGCTGGGCTTAAAATGAGCCCTCCTAGAAGCAGCGAGGGGGATCTCACTTCCATCAACAGAGAATAGCTGGAGCTGGAGTGTAGCGTGTCCTTGGACCTGAGACCCCTGCACTGGACCTCCTTGGCAGAGACACTGCTGCCAGAGACACCCCAGCTGAGACGCCTGACTGAGAGACGGCAGCAGTGGAACAAAGGGGTGTGAGACAGACCGGCAACCTTGCAGGCTCAAGGAGTGAGAAAGCTGAGTGCCCTTGGGCAGGAGGCTTGCCGATGGAGTGGGGTGCACCTAGGTGTACCAATTGGCAGAGCCAAAAGAGCTTTGTAACACTTGTCTGAGCAGGGCAGAGGGCAAGCTGAAAGGCTAAGGGCCAGAGAGGCATGCTTGAAGGCATAGTAGAGAGGAGTCTGTCCTGATCAAATTGTATCCTGAGAGCATTCCTGAACCTAAATTGTAGCCTGTTACTTCCCTAATAAACCCCATAATTGTGAGTATTATCTGGGAGTTCTGTGTGCCCATTACAATGGATTATCTAACCCAGCAGAGAAGTAGTGAGTGCTGTGGGAGGGATGGTTGGTGTCAGAATTGGTAAAAAGGAAGAACTAGATGGTGCCTGGGCTACCAATGCCAACTGCTCAGAAAGCGATCAAATCTGGAGATCCTGGATAGAGTGGGAGGAAAAATGTGGAATAAAATTCAAAACCACAAAAAATGGTTTTGAATTTACCCTTCTTTACTGGTCGGAAAGAGACTGGTGGAACCCCTGAGACTATGGCCCCAGGTTACCTTTCAGGCCCAGAAATGGACTCCCATGGATTGGCTCTCAGGCCAACAGTAGAAAGGCCTACATACAGAACACCTACTCCAGGTCAATGCACTCACCTACTCTAGGGAGATGCACCCCTTGGATCAATCAGCCATGAGACACTAGAGGGGTAGCACTCACATGGAGAGAAAGCTGGATGGACAGGAATGCATAGGTAAGAAGGGCACAGGGAAGGGGTCGTTACAGGGAGGAGAGTTTTTTATGGTTGGGAGCAATAATTGGGGCCATGAAATTGGATGCATGTGAACTGTTGAATGTAAAACAAGTTTGCAATGTAAATTGGCACCCAAAGCACAATAAAAAATAAAGAATAAAACGTTCATATGATAACCCCCCCCCAAAAAAATGGTAAAAAGGCTGGAGGGTGGTGGCATGTCTGTTCTCGTAGGAATAAGCCTTGGGCTGCTGATGGTGATTCTGTCTCCCCCTTGTGAAGTTAGAGGAGGTCAGAAGGTGCTGCCTCCATGCCTTTTTTGCTAGCACACTGTTACATGACCCTGTCAAGCATACTGTTTCAGTTTCCCAGACAGAAACACAACCTATGGGTCACCTCACCTTTCAACAGCCCAAATGCACAAGCACCCAGGAGTGACACATATGTCACACAATCCTTCCTAGAACACAGCCCCACCACAGGCCCCACCTGTGCCCTTGCCTGGCACAACGAGCTTTCATATATTTTTCTGCACTCCATTCAGGTTTCTGCTCCATTGGCGTCTACTCGGAGAGGCTTTCCCTGACCCCTGTCTGAAACTGCATGCCCATCATTCTTTATCTGCGCATCTAGCATTGTTTCTCTTTAGATAACTTACCACCTCCCACGTTACATATTTAGTCACCTCTCATCTCACTAGAATATCAGCTCCACCAGGGGAGGGATCATTATCTATTTTGTTCACCACTGGATCCTAGAACAGCATTTGGCACGCAGTAACAAACACCAAACTAAACCCGTGGCTGTCAAGTTGATTCCAACTCATACATACCCTATACCCTATAGGACAGAATATAAGTGCCCTATAGGGTTGCCACGGCTGTACTCTTTACAGAAGCAGACTGCCACATGTTTCTTCCATGGAGCGGATGGTGAGTTTGAACCACTAACCTTTCAGTTAGCAGCCAAGAGCATTAACCACCGCAGCACCAGGGCTCCTTTAGCACACGGTTGTTGTTAGGTGCCATCGAGTTGGCTCCTACTCTGCAACCCTGTGTACAACAGAATGAAACACTGCTCAGCCCTGCACCATTCTCATGATTCTTGCTGTACCTGAGCCCATCATTGTAACCACTGTGTCAATCCATCTTGTTGAGGGTCTTTGCCTTTTTTGCTGACCCTCCACTTTACCAAGCATGATGTCCTTCTCCAGGGACTGATCTCTTCTGACAATGTACCAAAGTACATGAGACCAAGTCTGCCATTCTTACTCCTAAGGAGTATCTGGCTGCACTTTGTCCAAACAAACAGATTTGTTTGTTCTTCTGGCAAACCAAGAAAACCCAAACCCACTGCTGTTGAGTCGGTCCTGACTCATAGCGACTCTTCCTTGGGTTTCCGAGGCAGTATCTTCATAGAGGTAGATTGCCCAGTCTTCCTTCTGAGGAGTGGCTGGTGGGTTTGAACAATCAGCCTTCTGGTTAGCAGTCAAATGCCTTAGGCACTACGCCACCAGAGCTCATGTTCTTTTGGTATTCCATGGTATTTTCAGTTCTTCACCAACACCACAATTCAAAGGTATCAACTTTTCTTTGATCTTCCTTATACATTGTCCAGCTTTCACACGTGTATGAGGCAATTGAAAATACCATGGCTTGAGTCAGGCACACCTTAGTCTTCAAAGTGCCGTTTTTGCTCTTTAGCATTTTGAA